GGTCCAACTGACTCAGCCGCACGTTTTCGCATCTCGTGTTTCCGGCCTTCGCAACACCAAAAGCAGAAAACCTGGTTATTTTTTTGCCCATAAGTGCACCTCATGTGCCAGCGCGAAACGCTCTGAGAAGGATGAATTCTGTCCGATAACTGGATTAATATGCAAAGTTTCAAATAAGAAACCGGAAAACAACACAGCACAAAGTGTAATCCGACGTCGCTGAAAAGTCTGTTTTAGTACACATTAATCTGTCATTTTTCGCGCAACTGAAATATCTGTAGATGGAGCGAATGGAATGATGGTCGTTGGTTCGGTAGGCTATTGCCGTGATTTGTGGTGGCGATGGTGAGTGATCCTTTTTCGTAGGCTTCCTAGAAAGGGGACAGTTAGTAAATTGTTTAGGCTACAGTACATTTACTGGGTGCTGTGGCCAAGGGCTTTAAAGGTAGCTTTCTATTGCCCCGTTTGTATAATGTCCATTGGCATGTGTTGAGACTTTCAAATAGTTCAGGTCTCAACATCGTTATTTTTTGTTTGCTTTTTCAGTCAATGGTAACTAAAATCTCGACTTTGTTAAAATAAAACCTAAAGAATTGACATTGTGGTGTATCGAAAATTTGACAGCTCCTTCACTTTTGCGCTGAGTTGGATAGTATATGCTTAGAAAACATTACCACAAATTAACACATTTGTCATGATATGTATTTTTTCTCCTTATTTTATGACATGATATGTTGTTTTTTGTTTGCATAAAACGGCAGTAGGTAATGTGACAAAGTGTGCCTAGTGTATCATGTAAAGCGGTATTAAATGGATAGGGGTTAGGGTTATCGAAGAGGTTCAGTTAAAATTTCCGTAAAATTGTCTATACTTCGCTTACCCAAACTGTAAAACGGACCTCTCTGTGTCAAGAACAAAGCTAACTTGTTTGCTAGCATCATGACTGGCGATTCAACTGCAATCAAAATTATGTCAAACTGATGAAAATAATTGAAACGCTTTCCTGGAAATACCGTAACTTTAACAATCAAATGACATCCTCATCCATCTGTGACGCTAGGGTCTTTAAAGCTTTTAGTAAATTGAGGTCACGCGTATGCCCAAAACACTTAAAAAGGCCTGAATGTGTGTCCCACCGAGCAGAACGTTCATGCTCGTTTGGGTGCCTGCGTTCTTCAGATGGTGACTATCGAGAAGTTTCGATTTTTAAGTGCTCAGTTCACGGGTCGCAGTCATCTAAGTCATATATTGAAATGAGTCCATTTCTTTACCAACTAGACTTCACTATGCAGCGGTATTTAAACGAATTCTAGCGCTCAGTCAGGCGTGTGGTTGTGGCCCGCCTGTTTTAACTAACCAGTGCCTAGTGCTTGTATTGCGTGTGGCAATCTCGGCAGCGTAGGCTCGATACGTCCAGCGCGTACCAGTGACTTTGTACGAAAACCAACAGATGATATTTCATTAGTGTTCAATTCTCTTTGATCAGGGAATGCCTTTATGGTGGTCATGTAGATAGTAAAAGTCCAAAAAATGCTTAAGATTGGGCATCTAGGAGAACTTACTATTCGTTACATTGGTTCAGTTCTTTCCGAAGAGAGTCGTTTTCTTGGTGCAAAAGCTTCACTTCCTTTCTGTAAACGCAAAGTTTTGTTTATGTGACTTAGCCACTCAGGTTTTTAACAAGAGGCACCAACCTCATCTGATGCATTTGCCGATGGGTTATTTCGTCCAGTTTGTTGAAGTTTTCAAAGTGGAGAAAGTGATTGAAGTGCCACCGAAGAAGAACTTTGAGAGTACCCGAATCAAGCGCATCAGTTTGTCGCAGCTGTCAAGTCATTAGTAATATTGGGCTTCATTACTTTGTAAAACATTTTATTCTGAGGATTATTTTCAAAATTTCACTCAAAAAAGTTTACAACTTTCTGCGCGTTAGGAGCAAATTCACCCTTTTCGCCTATCCAAACTCAGGGTATGGCACTATTGTAAAATTCTTGTTACCTGGATATAGGGATTTCACTTGCCAAAATGAATGGCGTTGTTTATTGAATAATTTTTGCCGGGGGCAGTCTGTTAGGCACTGCGGTTGTCAAAGAGAACTGAGGAATTCAAACGCGTGTCTTAGATGGTCTCGTATTACAATTAGAGATGACCACTAAGTTCTTAAAAGTACATTTGGAAAGGCTTTATAAATTTAGGTAACATGACATTATAAGCCAAATAGCAATAATTGTTCCTAAATTCTAGATTTTGTTATTACACGAAGAAAGCACTAATTAAGGATATTTGAATTGAATTTATTGCTCCCACTTGAATAATACTAGTGTTCGGTTTCTGCCCAAATTTTTACTTGTGGCTTGAATGTTATGGAAGTCTTAACTGTATTGATTAGATTACATTTCTTCACCGCAGAAATAAAAAAAAATGTTCCTCGATCAATCGGAGAAGGAATGTAAAAACATCGATGGACGTGCTTTTGCAAGATGGAGCCTCTTCACAATATCTAAACTGTCACCTGAAATCTAACATTAACACAAGACAAGCGAGCAGGCGGTTTGACTAAGAGAGCTGCATAACAGATGCTAAAGTGGCGAGGACGACAAATAGTAGAGTTAACAAAATTTGCTGAACAGAGCATTTACCTTGACGGATTGCGTTTAAACTGAAAAACCGACCTGGTGCAACACAGACGAAAGAGTTAGCGGTAAACGACTTGTGATTTTTGACAGTTTGAAGAATTCCAAAATTGAAACTTCACCTAATTAGGATAGCAGTTTTCGTTCATCAAACGTCAGACTATCAACAAGACAGGTCCGTATTTAGTTCGTTCTACCGCTTGTTAACCAAAGCCAGCAATTGCCACCAATGACCCCACACCATAATGGAACATGATCGTAACGATCTGGGGAAAGTGAG